TCATCATATAAACAGAGTTAACAGCTTGGTGTTTTATGAAATACAGACCTACTTTTCACCTTCTGACATTGACTTGACGATAAGTAGACTTACAATATTTCAATTTGGTAACAAATTTAAATTTAACTTAAAATAAGAAAATTACATGTAGATAACAAAAGGTAGGTTTTTGTCCTCCCAAAACATTAATTATTCACTCTTCTTGGCACATGCTTCGTGAAACTTTTGATCCTATCTCCTGTGATACTTGGGTGAACTTTATCATTTTCCTGAAGATGGTAGTTTTGAGATATCAGACTGGGCCAGGAGTTTTGAGATATTATCCTTGCTGCAATCCCTGCTACTAGAGAGCTAAATGTCTGAGCTAGTCCCAAAACATATTTTTATGGGATTTGGGTTTTAATAGAATTTTCATGTAATATTATTCAAAATTACTTGATTTTTAATTATTATACAACACCCCTGCCAAATTCTTCTCTCATTCCTCCCCTGGAATATCATTTGATTTCCATCATTAACACCAAACCCTTAGTATATTGAATTCAAAGCTGTTTATCTCTAGTTTCAAATGGAAAAGTGCAGTTTCTAGAACAGTGTAGATCAAGGAGATTGCTGTTACGCTCTTTCTTTCTAGATATAGCTTATCTTAAATCTTACATGAGTTTTCTAAATACTATTTGTGATAATTTCAATTATCATATATTTAATCTTTATAATGTATTGTGTCTATATTCATCTCTCATTACCCTGTCCTATCCGCTATGACCTTTACTGCCCTTGGATCAATTATCGCTCTCCCATTTTCATGCACTGTCTTAACCACTGAGTTTAGTTGAATTTGCTTGCAGGAACAAGAGTGATGGGCCTTTTTACTACAGCATGGTCAATTTAGCAATAGCTACAACAGAAAAAAATGACATCTCCTCCTCTGACAACCTTTAATTCCCAGTAGTTCCTTAGGAAGGGGATAAGGCTTTGTCTTATTCAGAATTTCTATTGCTGTGAAGAGACACCGTGATCACAGCAACTCTTATAATAGAAAACATTTATTGGGGTGGCTGGCTTACAGTTCAGAAGTTTAGTCTATTATTGTCATGGCGGCAAGTAAGGCAGCATGTAGGCAGACATGGTGCCAGAGAAGGAGCTGAGAGTTCTTACACCCTGATCCTCAGGCAACAGGAAGTGGCCTGCCTCACCAAATAAGGCTTAAGCCTTTATGAGACCTCAAAGCCTGCCTCCACAGTGACATTCTTCCTCCAACAAGACCACACCTACTACAAAATAGTTCCACTCCCTACAGGCCTCAAGAAGCCTTCCCCCAGGGAGAGTTGAATGGGGAGTGGCCCCATTTTGTACAGGTGTTACCATTCCGTTTAAAATTCGTTATCTACAAACACCTAAAGCTCAGCCGTCATGGAATTCAAGTTCAAATCCTTACCACAGTTTGGTCTCCCATTATTCACTACAGGTGAATTCTCTGGATAAGATCTATAACTAGACACATTAATTCCTTTCCTACAGCTTTGTTCTAGAATCTCCATACACACAAAGCCTGTTCACAGAAGTGTGTTTGTAAACCGCTCCCCACTTCCACACACACACTATGGTTAACTCAAAAAGACCTCTATAATCCTGACTCTGCTTTTTCTATTTGTATATAGCCACATCATGAATGGATTTCCAAAGTTATTTCTTCTCTGGTTTTCCTTGGAAATGCTGACTGATCATATTTCTACCTAAAGGGGTCGCCTACATTAATAAAGGAGATATCAGTACATATTCTTTTTTTTTTTGCCAAGTGCTAATAAGCAACATGTGGTGTCTATAAATTTTAACTGTATCAAGTAAACTCTTTTTCAGTTTCATTGTAAACTATGCAGGGTCGGGAGAGATCATTCAAATATTCACAGTGACCCATTTCAAGCTTGACCTATGCTTTGATAGTTTAATCTCATAAATCAAAGGCTATCCACAAAAATAGGAAGCCCACCATGGCCGTAGGCCTCGTTTCTTGTTTTTTCTCCATAGCATCCAGTGCCACTCCCTGCCCTCTCAACCTCTAATTGAACAGAAAAGGGCTGTCACGATAGAGCCCTCTTGGTGCAGCTCTGCAGGCAGCGTCCCCTTTGGGTCACAGACTGCCAGAATCTGTGACAGGCAGGTGCACAAGGCATTGTTGTTCTGGGACTGTACAAAGGACAGCTTATTTGCCAGCTGGCAGAAGGAGGCGTGTGTTTACACTCCACTTTAACACTGAAGCGACAAGGTGCCGCTAAAGACAGCAAGGTGCTGTGCGTATAGTCCCTGTTTATAAAAGATTTTCATTCATAAAGGTGAAGAAAAACAAGCACTTTCCTGATAATCCGAAAATTGCATATAAGATAAACTTAGTTCTCTGATCAACCAGGTATTTACGACTTCGTGTTACAAATACAAAACGGTTACTTTTTAAAATTCCTTTTGATATAGAGGTTTGAACCCAGGGCCCCCCACTGGCTAGACAAGGGCTTTGTCACCAAGCTGTATTCACAGCCCTCTTTTCCTTTTCATTTTGAGATAGGGTCTCACTAAACTGTCCAATCTAGCTGTGTAAACTCACTCCCTGTATAGTCTAAGCTAACCCTGAACTAAAAGGGCAACCATCTTGCCTTAGCCTCCCAGCTGAGTAGAGAGGCTCACAGGTCTATGCCCTCAGACTCAGCTAGCAAATACCTTTAAACTGACAAAGAAAAAAAGAAAAAGAGAAGCAGTGTCTAAATTATTATAAAGCAAAAAACTTTTAAAAAGATTTGCTCCCACACAGAGAGACCTGAAAATGTCAGAGCTGCGAGCAGGACCATTCTTTCATTGTTTCTAAGGCTCTTTAGTTACTTATTTGGAGAAATGGGCAAGTCTCCTGAATATATATATATATAATCAGGTGTGGAAAGGCCAAAGTACTGCTTGAAGGTCCAACTTCCTCTAAATTCTTTTTTTAAAAAAGTGGGGGGGGGGGGCAAAAAGGTTTATGTTTTTGCTCAACATGAATATCCCACCACCAAAATTCTCTGGTATCTATCTACCTTAATATTTCCTTTACTGGTCACCAGAACAGAGTAAGTTTAGTCCTAGACTCACTGTCTTCTCCCTACTTAGGCATCTGCTCATGTTAACCCATATATCTTTTCTTCCCACATAATACTCTGTTTCTAAAATGCAAATCTGGTCATATCCCCTTTCTGCTTGCCTTTCCTGATATCACTAAGCACTTGGGGTAAAGCATCTGTTCTCTGGAAAGACCCCAGAGCGCCCCAGAGTTTACAGACTTGCCTCCCTCCACATCCATTGCTCATTAGCTCTCAAGCTACTGCTTTGATTCCAGAAAGGTTTGCTGTCCTCTCTGCACGTAAAGTCTCACATGCTCTCCTTGTTGTCTTTAGCACCCCCTGCTCCTGCCTAGTTTCCATGGTGCTGTTTCTCATGCATTCTAACGAGACCTTGACCACCTCTGTGTAGTAGCCTTTACGTCGTCTTTTCCTTCACACCTTCCTCATCAACAGTTCAGGGATACAATCCTACTGCTTGCATGGTTTCTTCACATATATGTATGTCTAAGTACTAAATTAAGAAAAGCTGAGGACTGAGTCTAGAATTCTCTCTCTCTCTCTCTCTCTCTCTCTCTCTCTCTCTCTCTCTCTCTCCCTCTCCCTCTCTCCCCCCACCCGTGTGTGCATGTGTGTGTGTGTGTGTGTGCATGTGTGTGTAGGGTTGCATGTGCATATGACAGCACAGATACACATGTGCCTCCCCGTGTGGAGGTCAGAGATCAGCTTTTAAAGTTGTTTCTCATGCTTCGTTCACGTTTTCTTGGAGGCAAGGTCTCTCACTGACCTGGAATTCACCAAGTAGGCCAGGATAGCTGGATCTTAAACCCTAGAGATCTGTCTTTCTCTATTCCCCAGCTCTGGAAATTTAAGTTCTCACCACTGCATCAAATTCTTCTTATACTGGCTCTAGAGATCAAACTTTGGTCCATATATTTTCAAGACAATCATTCTACAGATGAAGCCATTTTTCCATCCCTCTTCCTCTCCATTGTACTTTCATTAATGGATGACAATGCTCTGGGCTTTCCAGTGTCATTAAATCAATTAATTAAACAAAGAGTTTACTTTATTCAATGAATAGTTGGTGTATGTCCAGTAAATCAGTCACATTGTATTCTACCATATACATTGGAGTGAGCATAAAAAGAGGAAAAAAGGAAAATAAGTAATATGTACTTAGAGGACAGTTCCTCTGAAGACAGACCTGTAAGGATAAATGTACTCTTTGCTGTTCTAAAAAGTGTTTTCAAAGTGCTTGCCTGCATTTGAATCAGACCCATGTTACATTCACTGTGATGCATATAACAGTTAAACCATTATATTATGTTTCTAGCACTCAAAAATTGAGGTGGTCAACAATAGGTCTGGAGTGTTTGTATCTGAAAGACTGGAACAGCTTGATAATATAACCCCCACATATGGGAAATCATAACAATTTCAAGAATCTTAGCAATTACAGAAGAACTGTACTCTCTCTTTGAAGAGGTGTGAGCTCTCCTAGGACCTCTGGCTAACATTTACCATGTACACCTTTATTTCACATACTAGAGATACATAATTTCATAAACTCTACCCACTTCTTCCTCAGATGTAACTTTAATTTAAAACTGCATATACTGAAGATGAGGATAGTTGTTTAACACCATCCCTAACAACAACTCCAGCCTGACACTGGGATCTAGGTTCCAGAGAGGCAGACTTGCTTCGCTCATATGTACAATCTGTTAACCAGATCCCATACTGCAGCTTATTCTGGAAAGTTATGTTAAACAGGTGGATAACAATGCTCATTTCAAAACACAGAATACTGCTCACTTATGCACGTTTGACACATGTCCTAGCACTACCAGATAATGTGAGAACTAGATGCTTCTCAATCTACTCTTGTGTGTGGGTTTCAGCTTTGGGACTGACCTTAGATCGTGGCGGGGCTCGGATGTACCACTTGCAATCCACAGCTTCACTGGCCGAAGCTTTGCCTTCCTTCAGAATCTGTATGGACTCCACAATTCCTTCAGGACCGCCCATCTCAAACTCACAGGCTAAATAATAAAATGCCAAACACACACAAAAATGGAGCTTAAATAATAAACCCAAAGTATACTTCATCGCAGAAAACAAAGACCTCTGGACTTTATCAAATCTCTGTTTTACCAACCTGGCAATGGTTTCAAAACTCCAAGGTCCTTAAAGTCAGGATCTTAAAAATTGAAAAAAAAGACAATTAGTTTTTTTTCTGCATGTATTCCTTACTGTGATATTGAGTAACATTCCATCAAATTATCCAGGAAGTAACCTGGATATACATTAGGAGAATTTAGGTGATAAAATAATAAGTACATGATAGTATTAACTCATAAATTTCAAGTGTATGTCAACATAACCATATATTGCTACTAGCTTTTTTTTCTCAATACAAAAGGAGATATTTTAAACCTTCAACACCATTGCTGCATCTTGTGTTCACTTTATGATGATATGTTTTTGTACAGTATATCCATGGGTAAGTCATGGTTTGAGTCACCCCACGTATTACAAATAGAATTTGTGTTCTCGTTCAAAAGATTATGCAAGTTTTTGAAATACATTCTTGTTTTAGCAGCATGAAGGTCATGTACGAAAGTGAAAATCCCTCCTTCTCGTTGAAAGATTTGTCCTGTTTTCTGCCATCTCTGATTCACACACCATGATGGCTTATAGTACTCCTTCATTCTCTACCTTTTTTTTTTTTTTTTTTGGTTTTTCGAGACAGGGTTTCTCTGTGTAGCTTTGCGCCTCTCCTGGATCTCGCTCTGTAGACCAGGTTGGCCTCGAACTCACAGAAAACTTAACATCCCTTTTCTCCTTTCTTGTTCTCTGTGAACCTAGTCTTAGGAACTAGTTCCTCTTTGCTTATTTTAATGCTTCATGGGAAGTTTGACTCATCATAAGCTTTGCAAATGTCCTTGTTAAGAGCTAAAATGATGTCATCAATCCCATTTCCTGGGTTTGGTTGTAAAGTAGGAACACAGCCCATGAAATACAAAGTTGACTCTGAAGACTGCATCTGAAAATGTTTTCCCAAGAGAATACAGGAGGCGTTTTCAGCTTTTCTTGTTATTTTGGAGATCCTTGGGAATCATATGCAGTGGATTTCTTCATTATTGGGAGGCCCCAAGATCAGAACATGAATACATCAACTCTGATGATAAGCAAAATGGAACACAACCCATATGAGGAACATTTCTATGATTTGAAACAATCTATGTCCATAGAGCATGGCCTGTTTGAATGGAATTTCCTCTATCCTGCACTGGACTCACCAATGGCTGTGGCATAATGATATATGATTAGAAACTTGGTGTGAGCAATTTACAATTGAATATGGAACTTAGGTTGTTATTTCTATAATAAAACAGATACTAGAAAAAATCTTACAGAATTTGAAGTATTTTATAAAATTCTGCTAAAAAGTGAACCTGAATTGCAGAATGAAAAGTCATTTTTCATTATGGCAAGAATTAGGTACACACATTAACATCATGGAGTTTATATAATATCTGTGTCTAGCTGCACCTCATCCTGTGCCCTAGTAGGTGAGCATACTAAATGTGCATGTGCAGACTTGTGTTAGCAGTTTTCATTGTTTGCTTTCTTCCAGTTAAATATTGATGCAAACTGGTCTGTTGACAGTGAGAGATAGTATTTACTAACCATGGTATTTCCCAATTGCGTCAACTATTTTCACTCAGTTTATTACAAACACTATTAGAATTTATGTGTATGCATTGAATCAAGAAAAATGAAAATATTTTTAATCAAGAAACCATTTTTCTAGAACTACTTGAAAACAGGTCTTTTAGTTTTACAGGACAAAAAAAAGTCTGTATATAATTTCCTTGGAAAACAAAGAAAAAGGGCATATATATCATTTACATTAAACTATCAGTAGGGTTTTTTTTTCTTTCTTTCTTCCTTCAGCATCAATGGGCATCTCATTATTGTTCCAATAAATATGTATTAAATGCCTGATTGTGTAATAAAACAGCTACATTTTATGTAAAATTACTCATGTTTTTACCATTAAGCAGTCTACTAGTATGGAATAGAGTCATGCATATTTTCTGGAAAAGTCAAGCTTTGGAACAGGCTGTGGTTGTACACAACTGTAATTCGGCACTCTAGAATCAGAGGCAGGAGAATGACTCTAAGTTAAAAGACATCTTGGTCTGTGCAAGTTTTGGGCTATATAGTCAATCTCATCTCAAAAAACTAAAAAGTAAAATAAAATCAAGCATATACTTGCAGGGTACAGCTCATTTGAAGAACAATTGAACATTTGCTTGACTAAGGTAAAGCCATGAGTTAATTCTCAGCAACAACACCAAAAAGTACTTATATCTAAAACTAAGATTGTCCACCTTGGGTACCAAATTTTTCTAATTCCTTATACTTTTTTTGTTATTTGGCCTCTACTTAAATATATCTCTCAAAAATGTACATCACCACCTTCATGATTAGAAAGTTTCAGCTGCACATGGCTATCTCTATAATTTTGTGGAGATTAAGTTAATGTTCTGTCTTCCAGTTTGAAGGGAAACATTTATCATTTTTATAAGTCATGCCATATCAGATTGATATTAGTGCCAGTACTGGGAAATGAAAATTTATTTTTGTCTTTGTATTAACACTGATAGGAATGATGGCTTAAAATACTTTGTAAAAATTGTTTTGCACTTCTGTTTGAAATACTGTAATTATAAATTCCTCATATGTTCCAAAACAAAACAATCAAAAACACATTTGAAGCAGCCTAAATTGGATTTAAAAGTATAAAGTTTGATTGATTGTTCAAGGTTATTTGGGGCAATGACAAAAGTTATTATGTAGATGCACAGTAAAGTTGAGCGTAATAAGCCTTCTACTCTCTTGATGTCTCTCAAAATGTGTTCTCCACAAAGCAACCTGAATTAATTTGAAAGATATAAATGAATTCATGACAGTCACTTCCCATTGTCCTTTGAGTATGATCCCAGCCCTTCATCTGTCCCTTACCAGACCACAGAGCCCTCATCTGGCCCTGCTCTCCTTCCACACCCTTGATTCCTCTGATAGTAAAGTCTCATAAAAGCTTTCCCAGACAACCCAGTCTTAGGGAACATTGTCTGTCATTTTCTTCACTCCCTTGTTGTTTTTGTTAGAATTTACAGTCATTTTTCTCTGTGCTTATGTTTTACTTCCGTGAGCCCATGACAAACACAACTCTATGCGGTAACATATTTACTTAAGACCCACAGTATCATAGGTGATCAATAATGTTACTGAATTAAACATAATTGTATATATACAGAAAAAGGCATCTCTTTATTCCTACTTCATTGTTCCATATTTACATATGTTTGCAAGCTCTTACACTTTAACTTTTCCTCTCCATATATAGGCCCAAGCTCATAGACAGACTTTCACTGTAAATACATCAATGTAGGTGCCCTGCCAGAGGTCAACTCATGCTGATATTTGCTTGTTGGGCATACAGCTATGCCTCATTTGCCCAGCCTCTCACAAGTGCAGGTTATCATGTAACAATTCTGGCTCCTAACATGAATGATAAGGAAGGTTTAACTTTGTGAGGTGGGCTTATAAAACCTTTCTAAGAATTTTTTCTCCAGATCCTTTTTCTACCATGATTAGTCTTAAAACAATATCTACTGAACATGTCTAACTCTCTCAGGTTCCTTTCCAAAGCAAGCTTGTGTAGTACATACATATATGCACAAACATACAGAATCAATGAATGTAGCGAAAGAATGCATGATATGTTATGGACAGAATTCCATACGATGACTTGAGTGTGATTACAGAAAACAAACCATTTGTTGGCCTTTCCAAAGGTACCCTGAGGTGGATCCCTTTTGACCCATGTACGTGTGTGTTTGGAGCCCATCTCACCTTGCCTGGTTTGAGAGGACACTTGCTGTGTGGAGCTTTCTTCATTGTCGCAACATCGCCTTGGTCTAGGCACTCCTGCGCTGTGCCGAACTGTAAAACTCACTCTTGCACTTACATGAAGAACAGCAAGTATTAAGATTTTTCCACCCCTGTTTTAATCTCTCTCTCTCCCTCTACATGTTTACTGATCTACATAAATTGAAACCTTTTATCAATTCTGACACGAAGTCCAGTTGTTAGCAAACTTAATTGTTTTGTATGCCTTAAAACAGAAGAAAATCTGTTTCTACTGCATGTCTCCTCTGGTGAAGAACAGATATTTTCCTTAGAAAAATAAAAATAAAATGCTGCAGGCCACAGGAATATATCATAAGAACTCAGCTGGTTATGGCAAAGTCACTACCTGGAGGAATCAGGGAATTTCTCCAGAGGAAGCCAAATCCCAAGGAGTTTTTGATGTTACTTGGCTTGTTATATATCAGCTATATTCTGTTATGAAAATCAGGTGTGCCTTCATAGTTTTCCCAACTGACTTTTCCCTAAGAAGTGCTAACAGTGTGGACTGATCACTCTCTGGACATACACATTCCAGGTATTTGGAGAACAGCCTCAGAAAAGGCTTTCTCTGGAATCAGATATCTCACTTAGCCACTTTCAAGGACTACAGGAAACACCACCCAGGGGGGCGCCAACTTCTGAGGACTAACAATGATAGCAGCCCTCAGACAAGTCTCCTGACTTAAGGTAAATTCCACAAGGAGACACCACCTAGGTGAGGTGGATGTTAAGTAAATAGCTTTACACAATTTAGCTCGGACTCTCCCTTTTTTTGTGGGGGAGGGGGTTATTTTTTATTTTATTTTACAATACAATTCAGTTCTACATATCAGCCACAGATTCCCTTGTTCTCCCCCCTCTGGCCCCCCTCACCTTCCCCCCAGCCCACCCCCCATTCCCACCTCCTCCAGGGCAAAGCCTCCCCAGAGAACTGAGATCAACCTGGTAGATTCAGTCCAGGCAGGTCCAGTCCCCTCCTCCCAGGCCGAGCCAAGCGATCCTGCATAGGCTCCAGGTTTCAAACAGCCAACTCATGCAATGAGCACAGGACCGGGTCCCACTGCCTGGATGCCTCCCAAACAGATCAAGCCAATCAACTGTCTCACCCATTCAGAGGGCCTGATCCCATTGGGGGCCCCTCAGCCATTGGTTCATAGTTCATGTGTTCCCATTAGTTTGGCTATTTGTCCCTGTGCTTTATCCAACCTTGGTCTC